TGTTGTTTTCCCATTTTTTTTTCAATACCACACTAATTTAACTGAATTTGCGTAGTAGCGAAAATCATATTTAAAGGATCTGCTTGGTAAGAGATCTTACTGTTAGTTTTTACTATAAGTTTTTATTTTAAAAATTTTTGATGTTAAAATTTAATTGTTACTTTAAAAAATATGATAAATAAATAAATTAAAAAATGAAAAAAAAATTAAAGAAATGGATCTCAAAAGACAGAAGAAAAAAAATAATTAATTTAATTTAATTAGTAATTACTTATATATAAATCTATAAATTCTTTTGAATGATTCTGTGGAGGAAGAAATAAAAAAAAGAAATAAAATAGATTTATTTTTTATAAGTCTTTTGTGTAAAGCTCCTACCTTTTAGAAATTATGACCAAAAATAAAGAGTCTTACTTTTAAGATTTTAAAATTAATAAAATAGAAAAAGTGTATTTGGCTAAAAAAAACTTTGAGAACTGTGAAATGCTTAAAAATCTCTATAATCTACCGCTAAGCTATCCCAAAATTAAGTGTCTTAAGCTCTTAGCCCAGTAGCTAAAACCAGTACTAAAAAAAAATATAGGCCATCTGATTTTCCAAATTTTACCCTAGAATAGTTTCATTCTATTTCTTATTGTGAGTTTCTGTTTTTCTAAGTCAATTTGTTTATTTGGCAAAACCAATTTGTCTCCCTACTTATCCCTTTTTGTTATGGATCCTTAAAAAAAAATATAATCAGGCAAAAATGTTTAGCATGAACAAATTTAGTCTTTTTTGCATGTTGTGGATTAAATTTTTAAACGGACACTAAATTATACCTTGTACGTTCGCACGAGAAATTTTATTTATTTTTATCTAATTTTATAATGTAATTTAAATTTTTATAGATATAATAATTTTTTAATAAATGATATAATTTATTTTTGTGTTTAGATTAATTTATTTTTTTAATTTATTAATACAATTATAAAAACATAATTTTAATCAGTCCATTCAATTAATCGAAAAAGACTATAATATAAAAACATAATTTTATCCTATCTGTTCATATTACTATATAATATATATATTTTTAATTTTAAAATTTTAAAATTTTAAAATAATTGATTATAAAAAATTATGTAATAATATATATTTTAATATTGTTATCATTATGAAAAATAGTATTTAAATTTAAATATTTAAAAAGAAAATAATTTAATATCTTATTTACTATTTTGTAAAAATAATAACAACTGATTTTTGTATTTTTGATAATTAATCCTTACTATATAGAAGAAAATCTAAACTAATTAAATAAAAATTAAAAAAATTTCGAAATTAATTTTAAAGATAAAATTTAAATATTTTATTTTATTAATTTTCAAAATAATTAAAACAAATAAATAAAAATAAATTTTTTGTTTGGCAACAGAAATAGTAGATATCCAGAAGTAGAATAGTAAAAAAATCTGTTTGGACACAAAGCATGTCTCTGTTTTAATAGAAAATATATGTTTTCTAACAAAATGGATAAGTGGGTATAAGACCATGAGAGCACCTGTATTCATGATTTGGTTAGTGTATCATAACCAGAACAGAACAATACCATCAACCTCTTAATGAACTCCTCAACTACCTAAATTTAATGAACTACTCACCAAATCAGAAGGAAAACCATCACAGCAAATCAACAAAGCAATGAACGAAAAAATCAGATAAAAAACCATTAATGTTTCTTCTACCAATCTGAACAGATCAAACAAAGATGAACCAAGCAATCTATCTAACTCATTTCTAGCTTATCTCAGAATGAGAAGACCAAAGAATTAAAAACTTATCTATCAATGACAGTACAGATCAAAAACATATCAATGTACAAAGCAATAATCCGGTTTTCACACAATCTTCAAACAAAAGTCATAGATAATCAATAAACGAACTCACCAGGGATGTGATTGTCTGAAACCGTTCTTGCCCAATGCTGATCCTTCTTCCACAGACACATGCAACCGGTTTTCACACATGCAAAAGTATTTGAAAATGTCAAACATCTCGCAAACCACAATCGATAAAAACTTGTAATCAAAACTTGTAAACACAAACATCGAACAATGATCTCATGACACGGAAAACGAATCGATCAAAACTAAAAGGTTCTGACACGGCGGAGAGAAGAAGATTTACCGGGAAAGGAAGCGAAGGAAGGAGGAAGACGAGACGGCCAAGGAAGGAGGAAGACTAGACGGCGAAGGACCACGGCGGTCTCAATCGCCGTAGTCGCCTCGGAGGAACACGAAACAGCGGCTTCTGCGAGGTTAAACGACGCCGGTTTTCGTGGAGGGTGAGAGACAGAGCGAGAGAAGGGGAGAAGAGAGGCAAATCGGTGAGAAAAAAGCAAGAGAAGAGGAGAAGACGCTCACGGCGAAGGCGACGACGAATCGCCTTCTGAATCGCCATCAGAGAGGATTTGAGAAAGAATTTTTTTTTTGAGAAAATGAATCTCGTTTCGCAGATCTGGCCCAAACAAAAACACACGAGCCACTCATATCTCGCCACGCGTCCGCGTGAGACAGATATGAACTGTCTCAGAAATCTCGTTGAGCTGAGACGTTTTATACCCAAATTCATTCTGACCCAATTGTTTATTAATATTTGTTGGGTTAAAACCCAAAAGAAATCATGAATACAGGTGCTCTGAACATTGCAGAGACTCATTAGAGTCTCTTAAGTAGTATTTTAATAATATAGTTTAGCTGAATACCCATATAAGAGACCCATGTAATTTGATTGAACATTGTAGAGACTCTTTGTCTCTTTGGGGTTGTTTAAAAAAAAACATTTTATTCATAAAAAGATAATATTTCATTACAAAGATTAAGACAAGAACATAAAAAGAAATAAAACATAAATTTTGATACAAACTTCAGTTGGCATTTTAGTAATGTTCAATTTTTGCCAGATATTCTCCATTAAATCGGCTTTCAGTTTCTTATGTTGTCGTGTATCACGGAGTTTTGTTCTAGCAAACATACTATTCTCAAGATTTAAAGTATTTGTTTTATATGCGAGATCCACAGTTGCACTTCCGCTTCCTTCTCCGTGCTGGAATTCTGAAACATTTGAGAGTGTGTATCCATCTCTTTCATCTTCTACGATCATATTGTGGAGTATGATACAAGCTCTCATAATCTTTCCTATTTTTGCCTTATCCTAAAACAGAGCTGGATTTCTTAACCTTAAAAGCAATCAAGAAGAAGCATTGAACTCCAACTAACATCGATGAGACATAAAGGTCTCTTAACCTTAAAAGCAAACAAGAAGAAGCATGAACTCCAACTAACATGGACGAGACATAAAGGTCTCTAAACAGAAGCATTCAAACCTATCTAAACCCAGCCATTAATACCATTACCAACTACAAATCTCCTTAAAATGAACAAGCTTTTATTACATTACCAACTACAAAGCTACATTTTTATGCTAAAGCCTATTAATAAGGGTTTGAAGGTTGCTTACCAGGAATTACTTCTGTCTTCTGCTTTAATGCTCCACCAGTTTCACCTGTCTCACCCATTTAGATGTATAGCCTTAAGCTGCATTGAAAGAAAACCAAATACCAAGTTTAGTTCCAAATAATGCAACCGATTGATGCATGTACAAAATCAGAGAAGCTTAACAAACAAACAGTCTGAATCAAAGCAAACAATCTCAATCTCAAGCAAACATTGTCTTACTGACACTTACACAAACACAAAACCATATTGCTACATCACCGATTGAATTAAGAAAATCATATATACAACAAACAATTCAATTCATAAGAGATGAAGTCAATACACTCGATCAGAACCCTATATCATACCCACTAATCAAAACCACGAATCAAATAACCTCACATCAAATAATCATAGAGTTGATGCCTAAACAGTTCAGAAGAAGAAAGAATCGAAAACTCTAAATTAGTCAAACCGATTGAAACCCATAAATCAAATAATCATCCGATTCGATCCCTAAACAATTCAGAAGAAGAAAGAATCGAAAACCCGAACAGATGAAGATAGAATTCCCGAACCGATCAAAAATCAACTGATTCAGAACCGATTGATTTTGACGGAAAAAACAGAGGACAGAAGGGAAAGAGAAGATGGCTTATGTCGGCGTCTCGATCCTCTGCTGTTGGCCTCCCAACGATGTCGACGATGCCGCAGAAAGTCGCCACCAAAAGGTCGTCGTCGCCTTCGACGTTTTTGACGGAGAAGACGAAGTAAAATTGTGTCAGGGAAAATAGGAAGGAAAGGAAAAAAAAATTTCCACCAAATTCAATTGCCAATCACATAAATCACATAAGTCCACGTGTCTGTCAATATTGTCTCTTACGGTTTTATTTTAAGCGACGTCTCAACTAAACCGAGAAACGCGTTAGTATTAAAAAAATTGTTTTTTATTAATAGGAGATCTGGCATCATAGTTTTGTACATTGACAAACAACTTATCTCCAGTCTTTATTGGAATTATAACACAGTACATACCCGTGATGTTCATGCTCTAAGTAAAATCTTAAAAAAAAATAGTTTACAGTAAAATAAAATAAAATTTTATTCTGTTTTTTAGATTTTTAAAAATTAGCAAAATAGCTTAATTGCAAAGCTTAACACTAGACAATGGACTTCAACCTTTAAGCACAAAACCGAAAATCCTATATCAAAGACGACTTAAGAAACATGGTATTAATTTCCTCATAAAGCCGAAAGTCCTGAATGAAAACTGAAAAGTGAAGACTACAAAGAAAGCTTTCTTTGAAGCTTCCTCTTCTCATTCTTCGCGTTGATTAGTAGACACCGTAATGAGATGGAATGTTATGACAATTATAATATACAAAAAATGTTACGAAGTCAACCAACGTATTAAATTGTAGATAACTATTCCCCACTTGTAATATATGTATTGCTATAAAAAAATTCTATAAATCTAGTACGAAGAATTTGTTCCATGAAGTTATCATTATCTCTAATCCCCCAATGGCAGATCCTTCTTCATCTTTCTCCACCTCTTGGAGATATGACGTCTTCGCTAGCTTCAGAGGCGAAGACGTCCGTAAAAACTTTCTCAGTCATTTGCTCAAAGAATTCGAAAACAAGGGAATAGTGACATTCAGAGATGACCAAATCGAAAGAAGCCATAGCATCGGTCCTGAGCTTGTAGAAGCCATAAGAGAATCTAAGATCTCTTTGGTTTTGTTCTCTGAGAACTATGCTTCCTCAAGCTGGTGCTTGGACGAGCTGGTTGAGATCTTGAAGTGCAAGGAAGAACAAAGACTCAAAGTGATGCCGATTTTTTATAAAGTGGATCCATCAGATGTAAGAAAACAGACCGGAAAGTTTGGAATGTGTTTCTGGGAAACTTGTTATGGAAAGACGGAGGAGAAACAACGTAGTTGGAGGCAGGCGTTGACCGATGCTGCCAGTATTGTTGGCGATCATTCTCAAGACTGGTGAGTTTTTTTTTTTAGTTTACTTGCAAATTGATAAAACCTTTATTGGCTAATTATTGAAGTCAAGCGTAACAAAAAAAAATTATTCAAGTTAAGCTTAATTAGGATAAATCACTTATTCGATCTGTTTGAACAGTTTCTAAAAAATTCTAGAAAATTAGAGATACAGAACCAGTAGTAAGAAATTATATATTTCTAGACATACAATTGAAGTTAAGACATATATATTAATTCCTCTGTTTCACAAAGAGTGTCGTTTTGATATATTTTACACAAATTATTGTGTAATTAATACATTTCTCTCTTTTGTGAAATAAAAGAGTGTCTTCTTTTGTGAAATAAAAACAAAAAAAAATCTCTGTAATCAATACATTAAAAAATAGGATTAAAACTGGATTTTAAAGAAAAATTTTGAATTGAAAATACAAAGTATCATTCTTTGTGAAATAAAAACAAGATCTTAAAATGATACTCTTTGTAAAATGTATGGCTTAATATGAGACATAATTTTTTTTTTCTAATCTAGTTTTACAATACAATCTTTACAACAAGCTATTATAGCAATTCATATTTTTTAAATGTTGTTCAATATTTTTATAAAAAAAATTTGATCTCTAGTATCTTATGGGACATAAATGTTTTTCGGGTATTACGATCTTTGAATGGAACCCGACCTTTTCAACTTTTTTACACCAATTCATATACCTTAGATGGTATTTTTTTTTTTCTTTTTCCAGGGATAATGAAGCAAACATGATCACAAAAATTGCCAAGGATGTATTAAACAAATTAAATGTGACGCCATCAAGAGATTTCAGTGACTTAGTTGGGATTGAAGCTCACATTGCAAAGATGAATACTTTGTTATGCCTTGCGTCTCAAGAAGGGAGGATGGTAGGGATATGGGGCCCTGCAGGCATTGGTAAAACCACCATAGCTAGAGCTTTATATAACCAAATTCAAGAAAACTTCAAACTTTCTATCTTTATGGAGAATGTTAGTGAAAGTTATGGTGAAACTAACCTCGATGACTATGGTTTGAAGCTGCGTTTACAACAAAATTTTCTATCCAAACTTCTTGATCAACACAATTTGAGAATACGACACTTGGGCGCAATAGAGGAAAGGCTAAAGAACCAGAAGGTTCTAATAGTTCTTGATGATGTGGACAACATTGAGCAACTCAAAGCTTTAGCAAAGGAAACTCAATGGTTTGGTAACAAGAGCAGAATCATCGTGACCACACGAAACAAACAACTTTTGATTTCACACGGGATCAACCATATTTACAAGGTGGCTTTTCCTTCAAGAGAAGAAGCTCTTGCTATATTCTCCCAACACGCTTTCAAAGAATTATCTCCATCAGACGATTTTAAGGACCTTGCAATCGAATTTGCAACTATTGCTGGTCATCTTCCGTTAGGTCTACGCGTTTTTGGTTCGTTTATGAGAGGACAAAGTAAGGATGAGTGGGAAGCTTCTCTGCCTACACTCAAAACTAGACTCGATGGAGAGATCGAGAAAGTATTAAGAGTCGGGTACGATGGCTTACACAAAGATGACAAAGCTCTATTTCTTCACATTGCATGTCTTTTTAACGGTCATCACGAAACCTATGTGAAGCAGATGGTGGTAGCTAATAATGAATTGGATATTAGCTTTGGACTTAAAGTCTTGGCTGATAGATCTCTCATACAAATATATGAGAATGGTACAATCATGATGCACTCCTTGCTACAACAATTAGGCAGAGAGGTTGTTCGTGAGCAATCACTATACGAGCCAGGAAAACGTCAATTCTTGATGAATGCTAGAGAAATTTGTGGTGTTCTTTCGAATAATACTGTAAGTTTATTCCATCTTTATTACATCATATGCCTATGATAATTAATGTTTAAACTTTTTTTTTTTCTTTTTCTTGCAGGTCACGGAGACTGTATTAGGTATGTCGGTAGATATGTGTGACTTCGACGAAGACTTTTATATAAGTGAGAAAGCATTTGAAAATATGAGGAATCTTATATATATAAGATTCTACCGGAGTAATGAGGCAGATAAAAATAAAATGAAGTTACCAGAAGAAGGTCTAGGTTATCTTCCACAACTTAGGTTAATGCAATGGGATGCGTATCCGCACGTGTTCTTGCCTTCTCGCTTCCGAACAGAATGTCTCGTGGAACTCAACATGTCTCATAGCAAGCTTAAGATGCTATGGGGAGACAATGCTCAGGTTTTATAATCAACTGGTTTTTTTTTTTCTTGGTTTTCTTCTCTTATCTTTTAGTTTCTAGGTGCATATACACATGCATGCACACATAATCCAAAAACTTCAAACTAATCAAGGTTATGTATGCGCATACTTGGCACCGCCTCGTTTAGATTTTCGATTTCCATATCAGCGTGTATACATTATGTTTTGTTATAAGTTAGTGTAGTTTTTGGCTTTCCATATTAAGAATAGAGACATTTTGACACTCATTCACCTCAACATCTTGATATGTCCTTTTGTTTTACTTGCAGCCACTTAGAAGTCTCAGGTTTATGGATTTGAGTAAGTCTCAAAATCTGGAAGTCATACCAAATCTCTTGGAAGCAACAAATTTGGAGAGATTGGATTTGAGTTGGTGTGAGTCTTTGGTGGAGCTTCCTTCATCTATAAAAAACCTTCATAAACTGACAAGGTTAGAGATGTCTTGTTGCACAAATCTAGAGATCATCCCTACCAACATCAACTTAGCATCTCTATCTCACCTCCACTTTAGATATTGCCATAGACTGAAAACCTTTCCTGAGATTTCAACGAACATTACTTATCTTAAAATTAAAGGCACCGCAATCACAGAGGTGCCTCCATCAGTCAGGTCCTGGCGTAGGATTGAGGAAATTTGCATGGAAAGGACTAAGGTGAAGAGATTGGTCCATGTTCCTTATATTTTAGACGCTCTATGCTTAAGGGGTAACACTCAATTGGTGTCTATTACAAACTACCTCACACAGCTTCGTCGGCTGCGTATGATCGACATCTCCTTTTGCGTAAGGATCGTATCACTACCAAAGCTTCCCAACTCAGTACACCATGTAACAGCTTTAAACTGTGAGTCACTTAAAACATTACATGGCCCCTTTCGTAACAAAGGCATTCGCCTCAACTTCACTAATTCCTTGAAGCTAGATCAGAACGCACAAGAAATGATCCACCAAACTGTTTGTGGTGTTGCCATCTTACCAGGAGGACAAGTGCCATCATACTTCACTCACCGAGATAACGGATCATCGTTGATGATCATTTCAAACTCGATGGATCTGTCAGGTTTCTCAAGCTTTAAGGTATGTCTTGTGCTTGCAGCAGGGAATAGATTCAAAAGTTGTGACACATCTTTCTACACAAGCTTATGTGGCGATCCCATAAAGAAGTATTACACACTTTTGTCGAATCAGCCGGAGCTTAGAGTGGATCATATTTGCATGTTTGAATGTGTTTTGCCACCTGAATACGATAGTCCAGCAACGCGTTTGGGAGCTCGTCGTAGTACAAAGAGATTTATGAGGTTTAACTTCAATTGTCATGGTTGCCAAGTTCTGGAGTGTGGTGTACTACTCTTGGAGCCTCGTCAATCTCTGGTCCCTCCAAAACGAGTTGGGTCTAGCTCCAAATCTCCAAGACCTGCCAAAAGATCCAATACACAAGTGTGAAACTTAGAGATTTTTTATTTCATATGTTTTTTTTTTGTCATAAAAGTTCATTTCATATGTGGTGAGATTAGTAGATTACATTGTATATGATATATGTGATTTCGTATAAATGGCTTATCTGGGAACAGAGTTCATCCATCTTGATCAAAGATCCATCTACACATAAATGGCTTATCTTTACATTATTATGGTTGAAAAATTCAAAGAGAAAATCTTTGTTGTAAATGCAACGTTCTGTAGTTAGGGAAAATGATCAAAATCTAGCTGGACTAAATTCTATGGGCAAAAAAAATCTGTACTAAAATACAGGGCTAAAACCTAGTTAAATGTCATAAAAATTTGAATTTCCTATCTGCATTTATAAAATTGTGCTAAAACTACCTTGACCATCAAATCTTAGTCAACACTCATGGATGTTGAGGTGGCTGATATGTCACTGTTCTGATGTGGCAATAGTACATAAAACGACGTCGTTTTAACAATTCTCGGACAAAACTCATTAATCAAAACGACATCGTTTTAGGGTTTAGGGGAAAAATAAAATCCCAAATCGAAATCAAAACCAATTTAGGGTTCTTATTTGCTGTTCTTGTCCGATAGAAAGAGGTTTAGGATTGGGACTGTGATTAGAAGATTTCTGGGTTGGAAAAGCATCAAAGAAGATTACTGCAGAAGAATCGATCCATAATTGAGTCTGATTGAAGTCTCGTCCTCAAAATGAGGTAAGTTGCGATTTAAAAACCATTAAGCATTTTAAAAAATTTTGATTTTGAGACCAATACGTATTGTAAGTTCTGTATACAGTCATATTAATTGGTTTATATCATATTTAGTTTTAGTTTTTTAAATTTTCCAACCTAAACCCCTTTTTATCGAAAAAGAAGAGTAAATACGAAACCTAAATTGAATATGATTTCGACTTGGGATTTTATTTTTTCCCCTAATCAAAACGACTTTGTTTTGATTAATGAGTTTTGTTTGAGAATTGTAAAAACGACGTCGTTTTATGTACTGCTGCCACATCATAATAGTGACATGTCGGCTACCTCAGCATTCCGTGAGTGTTGATTAACAATTTGATAGTCAAGATAGTTTTTTGCACAATTTTATAAGTGCAAACAGAATATTCAAATTTTTATGATATTCAACTAAGTTTTGATCCTGTATTTTAGTACAGATTTTTTTATCCATAGAATTTAGTTCAGCTAAATTTTGGCCATTTTTCCTCTGTAGTGGTCCAATAGTGCACCAGTGAGATTATGTATCCTCATATTAAGAGAGTAAAAGAAGGGAACCGCTTACTGTCTGGCTTGGGACTCCTCCATGCTCTGTTTTTGTTTAAATGCTCTATTTTCTTCTACCGTTTCAATGTTTCTTTACGCTTAAGCAACCTTAACATTAATAACCTATTCACATCACAAAACCAATACGTCGCCGTCTTTTTGCAAGCACGTATCCTAGTAGGAAAAAAGTCTTGGTGATTTTTAAGCAGGAATCTGAAGAAGTAAAAGCTTGACTAAGTATTTTGAATGCTTTTTTATGACGTGAGATCGTTGGCGAAAAGGAGTAGAATATATCAAAACTCTCTCTTTTATTATAAAGAATAACATTAGTTGAAGTTTGAAAACGCGTCTTTGAAGATTAATTAATTGTAAGTGCTCTAAAATATATTATATAGAACCTGGCATTGCCAAGTCTAAAAGTCTTCTTCTACGATATTTATTGGTCTAAACATACCCAACTTCCCAAAACAGAAGAAGAAGCATGTTCCTCACAGGAATTCTCAAGTGGATCCTGGGAGAATTTTTGTACAAGTGGATCCGGGGAGAATCAAGAACAGATAAAAATTCGATTCATGAAGTCACCACTGCTTCTACTTCATCATCATCATTATCATCATCATTAACAAATCAATACAGCTACGACGTCTTCCCAAGCTTCTCAGGTCATGATGTACGCAGAACTTTTCTCAGCCATTTTCTTGAAGGGTTAAAAAGCAAGGATATTAAAACGTTCAAAGATAATGGGATCAAGAGAAGCGAGTCTATCAACTCGGAGCTCATAAGAGCTATTAGGGAATCAAGAATTGCTGTCGTGATCCTATCTAAGAACTACGCTTCTTCGAGCTGGTGTCTAAACGAGTTGCAGATGATCATGGAGTGCAGGGTATCTTTAGGGCAAACTGTTATGACCATCTTCTACGAGTTGGAACCATCTGATGTGAGAAAACAGACCGGAGATTTTGGGAAGGCCTTTAAGGAAACTTGTGTTGGAAAGACAGAGAAAGAAAAGCAGAGATGGAGAGAAGCTTTGACTCAAGTTGCAGTTATTGCCGGAGAACATTCTTTTTCATGGTATACTATTTCTATTAAAATTAATACATTTCAGTTGGTTTAATATAATGTCGATTTAGTACTGTTCTAACTTTATCTTGTGTAGGCCTAGTGAAGTGGATATGATCTCCAAAATCATTATGGATATTTCAAACGAGCTACCTTCTTCAGACTTTCATCGGTTAGTTGGGATAGAAACTCATGTAGAAAATATGAAATCGTTGATGTGCTTAGAATCCGATGAGGTTAAGATAGTGGTGATCTGGGGTCCTGCAGGTATTGGTAAAACCACTATAGCTAGAGCTTTATACGAACAAGTGTCATGTTACTTCCAGCTTAAGCTCTATAAAGAGACTCTTTACCCAGAGCTTAATTTTGAGAACGAGCTATACGCTGGAGTTTTAGATCATAGGGGCATGAAGATACCTGACTTACAAGAGGCGAAATTTAGGTTTAAGTACCAGAGAGTCCTTCTCATTCTTGATGATGTCTATCCCTGGGACCTAAAAGCTTTGGGAAATCTAATTCAGGGTCTTAGTTTCGGAAGCAAGGTGATTGTGACGGTTCAAAATTTAGATACATTGAAGGATATCATGATCAACCAGATTTACAAAGTTTCTTACCCATCGAGTGAAGAGGCTCAACAAATCTTCTCATACTCTGCTTTTGGACAAAGCTCTCCACCAAGAGGTTACTTGGAGCATGCCGTTGAATTAGCTAAGCTTATTGCACCTATTCCACTTTGTCTCAAGGCCTTAGGCTCGGCTTTACGTGGGAAGAACAAAGAGGAGTGGACAATGGCATCGGCTAAGCTCAAAACGTATCGTGACAACAATGATGTTGAGAAAGCAATTAGATATGTGTACGAGAGTTTATCTCAAAAACACACAACTTTATTATATATGTTAATGGATCAGTATCGGGCTGAGAACCTGAACGACGTCATACTCTCGCTTGTGGAAATGGACTGGGACGTGGAGAAAGGAATACAAACCCTAGCTGATTTGGCGCTCATCTCTATATCTAGGGAACGTGGATTCATAGTACACAGTCTAGTAGCTAATATTCACTACAAGAATCTTATGTATAAAAGCCTGCCACATCAACATTTTGTAAAGGATATGTGTCATATTTATTAATTTAAAGTTATTATCTAAAAAAATAATAAATAAATTTTGATTTTTAGTATTAAACAACATAAAGAAAATAATTTTTTTTTATTAACTCTTAAATAGCATTTGAAAATCTGTTAAACAAAATTATATTATAGTTAATTAGAAATAGGGAAATTGTATTATTTAACTATCAAACAATTTATAATTCACAAACTAACTAAAAAAAATACCCGAATATGATATTATATGTATATTCTATATTAATACTTTTTTATTCTTTTTTTTTCTTTCCTTTTTTTCTCTTTTTCTTTCCCTTTTTTCCTTCTATCTTTCTTTCCTTTGTTCTCTCATGCAATCCACATTTTTCTCTGCTGGTACACCCCCATCGTTATAAACAACCTCGCCGAAGATTCATTGAAAAATCTCAACTTCACCAAATTATCTGTTTCTCCTCTTAATTCTCCTCACCTCCTCATACGCATTTCTCCTTCATATGAGTTTTGTTTTGATTCTAATTTTCATTTTTTTTTTTTACTTTTGGTCAATTATTTCAATCAAGTTGATTGGCTAATCTTATGCATAGAAATCTGAATCATTTTTCAAAATTTGGAACTTTGAATTCGATTAGTGTTTTTTAGATTTCAAATTACTCGATAAAATTTTGGGTTTAAGAGCATTGAAAATTTGATCATTTTGAGTCTGTGAAATCAATGTAACATAACAAGTTTATATAACATGTAGCATAGTATGACTATATTTGCATGTTTGAGTGTGTTTTGCCAACAGATTATGATGGTCCAGCAACGCGTTTGGGGGCTACTCGTAGTAAGAAGAGATTTATGAGGTTTAACTTCAATTGTCAAGGTTGCCAAGTTCTGGAGTGTGATGTACTATTCTTGGAGCCTCGTCAATCTCTGGTCCCTTCGAAAAGAGTTGGGTCTAGCTCCCAAGGTCCAAGACCTGCTAAAAGATCCAATACACAAGTGTGAAACTTGTAGATTTATTCATTTCATATGTTTTTTTTTGACAAAATTTCATTTCGTATGTGGTGAGATTACATTGTATATGATATATGTGATTTCGTATAAATGCTCGCTCTCACGTTCATTCAATATATTATTTTGATTAATTATGATAATCTTTGTAATTAGAAACTTTTAACATAGTTGATAAAGAACATATGCGATGATTCTTCATAACTTCAAGAGAAATACTCTTGTTGCATACATTTATTTCACCAAAATAACACTAGAACAAAGTTATGAATTTGCGTTAAATTTATGAAATGTTATGTCGCCTCAAGTTCACTAATTTGTATTATTCTCTTGCTCTGTAGCTGCGGTTTTCTCTTCCGGCATGGAAATCGATTTGCTCTTCCCTTCGAGTTGCTGAGGACAGCATCTTCGTCGGGATTATAGCTTTTGATTTCACTCAGTTTTTGTCTTTTGCTAGCAGCGGCCGTGGTGGCATGATCTTCGGCGCTTGTGTCTCAGTCTTGTAGATCTGGTTCATCGGCTCGGTTCGGTGGTTTCTGGGAGATGCTTCTATGATGGGTCTATGGTCGGAGGAGGCGGATCTCTGCAGCGTCGCTGTGGTCACGGTGATGGAGGTGGTATTCTCGTGTAGTTGATTTTCTTGCCATTGTCCTCCTCGTCTTTCCGTCGGTTTGTATCCTCCCATGGCTGCCCTCTATTTTTCCTCTCCGGCGGTCCATCGACTGTTTCTCTTGCTTTCATGCCGGCTTTATGTCGGTATGTGGGTTTGAGTTCTCCGGATTTTTGTTCGGCTTTATTTTGAGAGCAGTTCTCAGAGGGTGGCTCTCTTGCTGTTCGGGACTGTGTTGCGTGACAATCCGAGCGTCTTTCTCTCTTGGGGTTTTGTTGCTTTGCTGGCAGGTTTCTATGGCGGATTGTGGTTGCCAGTGTGACTTGGTGAAGTGCCTCCATGGTGGAGGGATTCATCGACCGTCTTCTCTTCTGGGTGGCCTGTAGTCTCTCGTCGGTGCGTGTTCGGCCTCAGTTTGTGTGGCTGTGTTTTGTCATCTTTAGACTCTTGCGTTGGTGATCATGGTGAGTTTGGTTTGTTATAAGGTAGCTTTGCTCGGGATGAGTCTCCTTTGCTTTAATCCTTGTGGATTTGTCTTGCGGGGAGTTTTGAAGGTCTCGGCTTCGGTGCGGTTGTATGTGTTAGCTATCTTAGTTCTCGAGTGCGAGGTACGCTGATTTCTACTCGTCAGTGGTCTTGCAAGCAGTTTACTCGTTAGCCTCCGGAAGGTCTTTTAAGCTCGTTGTTGAAGCTGTAAGCATTGCGATTTTAGGATTTGAGGACATCCTAGATTCCATTCTCGTGGCAACATCATCTGGGTTTTTTTAGACGTAGACTTCCCCTGCTCGCAGTTTGCTCATCGCTTTTCCGCTCTCTTGAATCTTTTTCAGGTTGTTTGTTAGATTGCTTTTACCGGTTATAGTTATTGTATCTGTTTGTAGTAGATTGCTTCATTTGTTTTTGGTCTTCCGTTTCTTTTTTTTTCTGTATTTTTATTTAAAATTAAAAAGTTGGTAATATATTCTTTATATTTTACCATTAAAAAAAAAAACACTTCACTAATTTGTCTCATTATCAGCCTAAAAGGAAAAGAAATAACTGAGCTATCATTTCATCTTTTGACAATTTGTCAAATATCTCCAACGGTTAAATTAAACTTTACTCTCTCTCACCCTGTGCCTTGCACTATTATTATCCTCCACTTGTTGGAAAATTCTCCATTAGAAGAAGCATACGATTCTCTCTTATCACCATCTTCTCCTTCAATTCACCAAAAAAAAAACATGGAAGCCTTAATTCACCATTTCACTCTTCTCTCCGATCAAGCCCTTGTCGACAAAACCTTCGACCCTTCCACAATCGAAGACCTCATGCGTCTCTTCGAAGTTGATTCCTACAAAGCTTGGGCTGCTCTCGAAGCCGAACAGCAACAAGAGCTCGAATCTGCAGAAGAATCTCTCCGTGAAGCCGAATCCGAACTCGATCGGTAAAAAATTTCCCCTTTTAATTTGGGTTTCGAATTTTTCTCAGATCTGAAAAATTCGTTGTGAGTATGGATTTTAGGGATATGGAGTGGGGAATGGAGGAGTATAGGCGGACGTTGGAGGAGATGGAGAAGATGGAGGCGGCGGAGCTGAGAGAGCTTGAGGAGAAGGCGGAGACTGCTCGGAGAACTGGGAATTTGTTGGAGAAAGCTGCAACAATCGCCGCGAAAAGGCATATAGCGGCGGCGATGGGATCAGCCGCCGCGTCGATGAGATCTGCTTGGAAGACTGCATCTGGGAATAAAGTTCATCCATCTTGATCAAAGATTCTAAAGAAGTCGAAGATAAAATTGTGTTTTTATGTTTGGTGATTAGGCGATGAATGTGATAAAGATGAGGATATGACATGACGATGATAATCAAAGCATTGTCTATGTTACTAGGACTATTAAGCCACTGCTATTAAGTGGTGATGGTGTTATATCATGGTGGAGTATACCATAATACTAAATTAAATAATGGTATCAACTAAATTTCTTTTACCATTTTAATATATACTACTAAATTTGTTTTTCAATTCACTAACTATTAACCGTTAATCTAATATCATTATACCACGAATTGTAAGCTTTTCGATACAAAGCTTTTCTGAAGATTCTCTCAAACAGAGGTCTTTTCAGATTCTCTCACTATGATATTTTTTGGCGCAAAAAATATATATTGTATTGCTATATATATATATTTTTTAAATCTCGTGCTATGATATTAAAGGGATATTAGTGAATGGAGTATAAGATAAAAACAAAAAATAGTTAATATATATGGTTCTAGGTATTTAAATAGTTGATGTATTAGCGACAAAAACAAAAAATAGTTGATGTATTAAACTGATAACAGAATTTAAACTGGTGTATTTTTATGAAAATTCCCCATTGAATAACTATTGAAAATTTTGCTAGATAATCCAAAAGGATGGTTTGGATCCTACGTATTATTAAAAAAGACAAAATATCCTTGTCATAACAATTTTTTTTTGATAGATAAAACCATTAGTGATTTACACTTGAATGCAATTTACCCATTTTACATTTTCAGACTTCAGCTATTATGAGATATTTTCAGTAATTTCAACACTATTCACCCCAAATAAATCCAAAATTACCCCCTGTGTTCACAATAATGATGGATACAAAAATATAGATATCTAATTAATTAAAGATTTTAAAAATAGTAATTATTTTTATCCATCTGTTTTGTTTTGTATTTTTTTATATTGTGAAATATAGAAAATATTTTTATTTTGCTAGAATGAATTATAATTTTATTTTGTCATTGTTTTAAGACCTATTATGCTATATTTTATTTATGAAACAATAAATATTTTAAAAAAACATTTTTAAAAATAAATCAGAAATCTAGTTAGATATCTATTCACAAAATAAGGTGTGGATGATGCATGATGAAAATATAACATGGATATAATGGCGTGGATTAGTTTTAATTGATATAGTCAACGTGAATATACATTTTACATTGTCCACAATGTGGACATTATGTGGATATGTTTTCATTAATATATTCAACATGGATATACATTTTACATTGTCCATAATCTATCAACATGATCATGTCCATGTTATGGACAATGTAAAATGTATATCCATGTTGAATATATGAATGAAAATATATCCACACAATTGTATCCATATTATATGTCCATCATGCATCATCCACAGCTAATTTTGTGAATGGATATCTAAGTAGATTTCTGATTTCTTTTGAATTTTTTATAAAAGTTATTTGAAAAATTTCTTGTTTGATAAATAAAGTATAGCATAATGGGTTTTAAAACAATGACAAAAGAAAATTAGAATTCATTCTAACAAAAAAAAATTATTTTATATCTTTCATAATACAGAAAATTACAAAACAAAACATAAAGGAAAAATAATAACAGTTTTTAAAATCTGGATTAATCCAGAATCCAAGAGTTTACATCTACCGTTATTGTGAACATAAGGAACAATTTCGAAATGAACAATAAAAAGTCACTCAATAGCTAGAAGTACTTTATAATGTAAATATCTTCTCCTAGCAGTCTCATGTTTTGTTTTCCTTTGATCTTTTCATACATCTTAATTTAGTCTTGTATTTTTGTATTTTTTTTGTTTTTGCATTCCCCGTTGTTTAAATATATATATATATATATATAGAAATTAATCAAAAATAGATATGTAATTTTAAGTAAAACGGCAAACCATATAATGAAGTGCTAAGACCTCGATCCTCCTGTGGATTGTAGTAAAGCATGTACCTCCTCACTTGTTTTCTTGGAAGGGTCTGAGTGCCTTAACAAGCCCCTAGGGGAAGCCTAAAAAGCTTCACCCAGACACAGAGGCCTGCCGCAACCTAGACAAAGCTAAAGTCTTCGTAGAAGTGGACTTAACAAGGAAACCACCAAAGCAGTTCTGTTTTAAGACAGAGGGGGGACTGGATTCAGTGGTGGAGTTTATATTTCCATGGCTGCCTCCCAGGTGTGGTAAATGCTCAAAGTGTGGACATTTGGAGAAAGTTTGCACTACAAGTACCAACTTAGCAGTGGTACAAAACAGTGCACAGCAAGTAATGGAACCAGCAGATCAGCGAAGTGTAACACCACTCAGCCCGGGAACTATATTGGACACGGTTCTGAAAAAAGAGAAGGATAATGTAGAAGGAGCAAAAATGGTTGACAACAATGCAGGCAAAGAATCAGACGCTGAGGGGTGGTCTACTCCAACAAAAACATCAAAAAGCCCAGCAAAAAAATCAGAGCTAAAAATTTGGGGAGGTGTCGATATTATCCAACTCTTGAGTGGTAAAGAAGAAGAGAATGAAACAGTGGAGGATACGGAAGGGAAGGAGACTAAGGAAACCCCAGCTGTAGACGTTGAGAAGGAGCCACCTGCAGAGGCGGTTCCAAAGGCACTGCAGAAGAAGGGAAGTAAAACGGATCCAACGGAGCTTGCAGGAGGAATGTTACGACAGTCCCTGCCTCGCAACTCAAAGGATACCCATAAGTTCCTATCACAAACTACTGTCACGAATGCGAAGGATTCTGCTCCCAGTACTCGTGAGACACGTAACTCAACAAAACATCTTTAATGTCGGGGTTCTTTTGGAATATCTGCGGCTTAAACAAAAAAAGCAAACATGGTGTTGTAAAAGAGTGGATTGGGAAAGGTGATTTTGGTTTTGGTTGCTTGATAGAAACTAAAGTAAAAGAAGGAAAAGCAGAAAGGATTTTCTCGAAAATGTTTAATGGCTGGTCTCTAATGTCGAATTATGAAGAGCACCGACTGGGTAGACTTTGGATCGTCTGGAGGCAAAACGCGAGGATAACTCCTTGGTTCAAATCCTCACAGCTTATGACGGTTTCAATTTTTGTGGAGGGAAGGTCTGAGGAGATTTTTGTGTCTTTCATCTATGCATCAAACTTTGTGGCTGATAGGAAAAAGCTTTGGGAGGACTTGCGATATCACCATGACTCTCCCCTGTTTCGTGGAAAAGCTTGGCTTCTCTACGGGGATTTTAATGAAATCCTTGAAGGATCTGAGCATTCGCTTTATGACTTGTTACCTGCAACACCTCCGGGGATGAGGGACTTTCAAGAAACGGTTCTACACTGTGAACTGGTTGATTTGGCTTACCAAGAACAAAGGTATACATGGTGCAATAAGAGAAAAGATGATGTGATATGTAAAAAGCTGGACCGGGTGTTGATTAACAAGGAATGGATACACAGATATGACAGATCATACAGTGTTTTGAGCCAGGGGGATGTTCTGACCACCTTCGATGCAGGTTCTATATTAAAGAAGCTGAAGCAAAGCCTCAGAAGCCATTCCAATTCTCTAGTGAAATCACTTCGCACCCTGAGTTTCTGAAAGAAATAGAAGAGAGGTGGAAGCAATCTTCACCGCTGTTTGTCTCTACTTCTGCCTTATACAGACTCACAAAGAAGCTAAAACAGATGAAACCAAATATCAGAAGGATGGGGAAGGACCTTCTAGCTGATATCACCAAGCGTACTAAAGCTGCTTTTGAGAAGCTCTGCACTATGCAAGGTAATACAATGCATAACCCATCTCCACAGGCAGTGGAAGAGGAAGCAAGGGCCTTGGAGACATGGCTGAGACTAGCGGACATAGAGGAAAAATATCTAAGTCATAGAGCTAAACTCCATTGGCTTAAAGTGGGCGACAAAAACAACAAAACCTTCCACAATGCAGCTAAGATTAGAGAAATGAGAAACAGCATTAGAGAGATTCGATGTGGGGATGGAAACTTGGTCTCTACGCAGGAAACTATAAAGGAGGAGGCAGTGCGGTATTTTCATGATTTTCTGACAAAGAAGCCACAGGATTTCGATTCCTGGACGATGGAGGAACTGCAAACTATCTTAGAGTTTTGCTGTGATGAAGAGGATGAGAAGGCTCTTACTAAAGAGGTAACAAGGGAAGAGATCCAAAAGGTTGTATTGTCAATGCCAAAAAAATAAGTCTCTAGGACCAGATGGTTTCACAAGTGAATTCTACAGAGAGACTTGGCCGATCATAGGTGAAGATGTGATTGCAGCGATTCAATCTTTTTTTGAGAAAAGGTTCTTGCCAAAGGGAGTGAACTCCACTATACTTGCTCTGATCCCAAAGAAGAAGGAGGCTTTAGAAATGAAGGACTACAGGCCTATTGCATGCTGCAATGTGTTGTACAAAACAATCTCAAAGATTCTGACAAATAGACTCAAAGGGATCCTCCCTAAGTTCATCTCGCCAACTCAATCAGCTTTTGTTCAGTCTTGATTACTAATGGAAAATATTTTTCTGGCAACAGAGGTGGTGAAAGACTACCACAAGGATCAAATCTCTCCAAGATGTGTGATGAAAATCGACATCTCCAAGGCATTTGATTCAGTGCAATGGCCATTCCTACTTAGTACTCTGAAAGCACTCGGGTTTCCAAATGAATTGGTTCACTGGATTAAATTGTGTGTCACGTCAGCCTCCTTTTCTGTACAAGTAAATGGAGAATTAGCTGGTTATTTTGGGAGTGCAAGAGGTCTGAGGCAAGGGTGTTCTCTTTCTCCATACCTCTTCGTCATATGTACGAGTGTGCTATCTCGACGCCTGGACAGAGCTGCTCACGACAGGTTAATCAGATACCACCCCAACTGTAAAGACTTATCCTTTACCCATCTGTGTTTTGACGACCTGTTGGTATTTTTGGATGGCACAAAGAGGTCCATTGAATATACATTGAAAGTTTTTGATGAGTTTGCGGTGAGATCAGGTTTGAAAATAAGCCTTGAAAAGTCAACCTTGTACACAGCGGGTATTGCAGATGATTCGATGACAGAGATCCTTAGCCAGTTTCCTTTTGCACATGGGGAACTACCAGTCAGGTACCACGGGTTATCGTTACTCACAAGGAAAATATCGGCTGCAGATTATCTCCCCTTGGTAGAGCTTGTACGAACCAAAATAACCTCCTGGAATGCTAGA